GACAGCTAGTCAAAGACAACTCAACTCCTTAAAATATGGTTAAACAAAAGGGAAAAATTCAGCACTATAAGAAAGAAAAGAATACCCTGATAAAGAAACGCACTGAAAGGATGTTGCTAAAGAGTACATGAGAATTGAAATGCAAAATTATTGTTGTGATTTGTAAAAATTAACCTAATAATTGCAGTTGGAAAGAAAATAAAGCAGGAATATAAAGAAACCATGGGGAAAAAAATAGCCAGACAAAAGAGGAAAGTTAGGAAATACAGGAACTCAGGAAAGAAAGACACAATAAAGACATTTCTGAATAAAAGGAAACAATTACATGGAGTACAAGTGAGGCTATACACCCCACACAAAAAGGTCTAAGGAAAAGAGAGTATAGAAATGTGAGAAATGCAAAATAGAAAATAGAAATAAAGGTGAAAATGATTACAAGGGAATGACAGCATAGGAGACAGGCCAAGGAGATTAAACCGATGCATAATTGGACCTCTTTCCCAAACTCCAAATTCATTTATCCAACTGCTTATCTCAACATCTCCACTTGGATGGCTTGGATGTCAAAATCCCAAACTTCTACAGATCTAAAGCTGAACTTTCCTTCCAATGAGTTCTTGCAATCTTGTCCATTTCATTTGATGGCAATCTACTGTCTAGTAGTTTCTCAAGCTAAACTTCTTGAAGTCACCTTTGCCCTTTTCATTCTCTTACACACCACATTCAATAACCAATAAATCTTGTTGCTTCTACCTTCAAAATATACCCGGCTGTTTCTCTAACTGCCACTGCTATCACCATGGCCAAAACCATCATGACCTTCAGCTTGAATTACTGCAATAACCTTCAAATTATTTTCCTTCTTTTATCCTTAGGTCCCTGTTTTTAACAGAGCTGCCAAAGTGACCCTTTAAAATTTAAATCAGATCATATTACTCCACTGCTCAAAACACTCAAAAGTTTTCCTACTTCACTCATAATTACAAATATATTTACACTTTCAATCTGATAATTTATAGGTATACTGTACACACAGAAATGACATTTATTGCTGTATTATTTATAATAGCAAAATATGAGAGGAAAAAACATGTCCATCATTAAGGGACTGTTTAAGTGGACTATGTTTCAGGGAATACTTTGCAGGTTTTATTTCTGTGTAGGATGTGGTAGGACCAGGTGAGCCAAGGTTCTTACTGCCAATTTAAAAAAGGTGAATAAATTCTAAAGATCATATTTTTAAAAGCATCAGAGAACTGGGGATACAATAAAAACTAAATTGGCTAAAACTCCACAAAGGAGAGAATTGTACAGAAGTGAAAAAACAATAGTTCACTATTTATTTCCCTGGTGAATTCTGGGTATGGTCTGAAGGTCAGAACTGAAATAGGCACCTTTGGAAAATCAATAGTTAACATCATACTTAATGGTAAAATGTCGAACATTTAACCTAAAATTAGGAAAAAGACAAGCTTGTCAACTCTCATCACTTTTATTCCACAATATATTAGAGCTCCCACTGATTGTAGTAATGCAAGAAAAATAAATAAAAGACATAAACATCATGGCGGAGGTGGGGAGAAAATAAATTTATCTCTTTGCAGGACAGATTGTTAATGTATAAAAACTCTTAAGAATTTTACAAAATAACTACTAGAACTAATAAGTGAATTTAGCAAGGTCACAGGATACAAAGTTAATATACAAAAAAAACTAAAACCCTGTATTTTTTATGTGCCAGCAGGATACAATTAGAAAGTAAAAGTGAAAACAATTTTATCTATAACTAGAGGCCCAGTGCACGAATTCATGAACCAGTGGGGTCCCTCGGCCTGGCCTGTGGGATCAAGCCAAAACCAGCTCTCTGACATCCCCCCAGGGGTCCCGGATTGCAAGAGGGCGCAGGCCAGGCCGAGTGACCCCACCAGTGCACGATCAGAACAGGCAAGGGATGCAGAAGGTTGGCCAGCTGGGGAGAAGCCACTCGAGGGCTCCAAGGCATGCCCGGCCCTCTCGCTCAGTCCTGATCAGCCAGACCCCAGCAGCAAGCTAACCTACCAGTCAGAGTGTCTGCCCCCTGGTGGTAAGTGCACGTCATAGCAAGTGGTTGAGTAGCCTTAGCATATCATTACCATATTATGTTTTAATTGGTTGAACAACCAACTTGTCAACTGGACACTTAGCATATTCGGCTTTTATTATATAGGATAACCCTCAAAATATAAAATCCAAAAGAAAGTAATTAACAATCACAGGCAAGCCCTCATTGCAAAAAACTACACGTAATTTCTGAAAGAAATTAAGTAGCTAAATTAAGAGATATACAGCATTCAAAGAACAGAAGAATTAATATTGTTAAAAAGTCTATTCTCCCCTAATTTTTCTACAGGTTTAAGAAACTTCCAATCATAATTCCAGCAGTCTTTATAATAGAAATTGACAAGCAAATTTTAAAATTTATATTAAAATTCAAATTTAAATCTTGAATGTTAAGGCAATTACAAAAAAAATATAGAGAACTTTCACTACCTGATTTAAAAACTTACTATAAAAACACAGTTTTTAAGACAATTCAATGTTCATAAAGGAGTGGTCATATAAATCAATGGAATAGGAGAGAAAAGCTAGAAATAGAACTACACATACACAGTCAACTAATTTATGAAAAACTGCAAAGGCAATGCCATGAGGAAAGTCCTTCAAGAAATGATACTGGAACATCTGGACATCCAGATCAGGGGGGAAATGAACCTCACCCCTTACTTATACCACACACCCACAAATTAATACAAAGTTGATCATAGCCCCAAATGAAAAATGCAAAAGTATAAACTTTTTAGAATAAAATAATCTTTTAACCTTGATTGACCTTTTCAGACAAGCTTGTAAAAACATTCCCTAAACATTAGGAGGGCAATATCCTATATGATATGCAAATTGACCGAATGGCGGAACGACGGGTTGCTATGATGCGCACTGACCACCAGGGGGCAGACGCTCAACACAGGAGCCCTGGGCGGGGCTCACGGCTAGCGAGTGCAGCAGCGGTGGCAGGAGCCTCTCTCGCCTCTGCAGCAGCGCTAAGGATGTCTGACTGCTGGCTTAGGCCCACTCCCTGGGGGGCAGACCTAAGCCATCAGTTGGACATCCCCCGAGGGCTCCCGGACAGCGAGAAGGCGCAGGCCAGGCTGAGGGACCCCCCCCCCCCCGAGTGCACGAATTTCATGCACCAGTCCTCTAGTATGTATATAAAAGGCTAATATGCAGAGTGTCCCCTCAGGAGTTCGACTGGGAGACTGGGAGTTCAATCACTCGCTATGATGTGCACTGACCACCACAAGGTGGTGAGGAAGGAAGGGAGAAAGGCCCCGGCCAGCAGCCGGAAGGTCCCGATAGACTCTGATTGCCGGCCAGGCCTAGGGACCCCACCCATGCACAAATTTCGTGCACTGGGCCTCTAGTAAGAGATAAAGGAGAATTTATTTTAAATATACTGTTTTGCCTCTATTAGACTAGCAAGAATTATGGTTCCTTGTGTGGGCCAGGATAAGAGAAGCTAGGCAATCCCCTACCTACACTCAAAAGGAAAGAAAAAGTGTATTCTGCTAAATCCTTTTGCAAGGGTAAAATGGCAACATAAGCAATGTAAATGTTCATGTTCTTTGGGTACTTCCATTTTTAGGAATTCATTCTGAGGAAACAATCGGCTAAGTGAAAAAAGCAACACACACACACACACACACACACACACACACACTATATATATGTATTTTTACACAAACACACATACACTCCAGAATGTTTAGTGAAGCACTGGTTGAAATAAATTAAAAAAAAAGTTGGCAGTATTCTATAAACTCTTTTTGCAAGATATACTATATTTGAAAAAGTACAAAAACATCTACTACAACAACCATTACTAATCTTCTTAGTGCCCAGTGAAAACGGATTTCATCATCATTAAATAACAGCAGTCGAGAATACGGGGCCAGCAAAATTTGTAAAGACCAAGTTGGTAGCAATTTTTTTTTTTTACAACAAACTCCTATTTGGATACTAATTTACTATGCGTTTTCATAAATTGAAATTACACTTGTCTTTCCCAATTACTGCAAGCATTTACTTAATATGTATACAAAGGATTTTTTAAAGATGAAGTAATTAGCACTCATCATAGGTTGCATCCCATAATGTCTGCTTCCCAAAGGGCAGTTAGTTGCAAGCTGCATTGTACTTCATAACTGATAAAAATCTGTTTGGTTTTTAAAAACCATGCATAAGACATAGCTGTAGGTTGAGAAATTCATAAATGACTAGATCGTTTAATTGAGGGCAGCAGATATGTTCCCCGTGTTCTAACATTACATGTGAGATCCAATGAAAGAAAATAAAAAAGTAAACATTACCTTCTCTGGTAACCCCACCTGCTAAGGCCTCTTACCTTGATTCTTGCTTTCTCTATAAATTCTAGAGGGGCTTTCCCAAACTCAAATGCAGCTCCAATCCAAGGAATCCAGCCGCTGATGCACGGGGGTCCGCTCAAGTTCTTCCATTGAAGGAATAACAAAAGAGCAACGCAACCTAGGATTATAATCACTGACGGGAAAATTAGTTCCATGTTTTTGTCTAGCACCTTCCAGAATCAAAGAAGGAAAAGTCCTGCTGCCATGGCACTTGTTCCTTCCCTCTGCGAATCGGGAGCACCGACTGGACCTCGAAACCTTTCCTGCTGCAACTTTTGCAGCTTTCTTTGCCTTTCTAACTGTAGTCGCCTTTCCCCGCCCCAGTGTTTAGATGACTTTTGCATCATCGCTCCCTCCCACTTCTCTTTCAGGTCTTGGCCAACCGGTTCGTCGTGCTGAAGCTGGACCGAGGTCGAAGGGCGGGTTCCGAGTGGCCAAGAGGGGGAAAAAAAACCCACGCGTTGTTGCCATGGATACCGGGACCCAGCGAGCGCGTAGATTGCGGCCAATCAGAGAACGCGGCCCGAGAGGCGCAGAGTGCGGAGGACTACATTTCCCAGAAGCCTCGCGGGCTCCGCGTTGTTTATCTGTTCTCAGTCCGCTGGACCACTCCGTCCTGGGGCTGTTAGGAAGGTTGCGGGTTCGCGGGGCCAAGCCAGAGAGGGACGCGGACTCCGCCACGCCCTTGGTCGGTGGAGGAGAGGCCGCCCTGGCCAGGCGGCACGCCAGCTGTGGCGCCCGCGCCGGCCGGAAGGGGTGCATTGTCGTCCTGTCCTGCTGCTGAATGTCGGTCCCAGAGGATGAGGAGAGGCTTTTGCCGCTCGTCCAGAGATGGCCCCGAGCGAGCAACTTCGTACTGTCGGGCTGCGCGGCCACCGTGGCCGAGCTAGGTACCCGGACGCCCACTCCTGGGCCTCTCCCGCCGGTCGTTGTGGCGCCACCCTGGAAAGGGGTGGCCATGGGGGAGCGGGGGAGGGGAAGGAGGACCGGTAGGGCCAGCAGATGGCTCCGTTCCCGGGTGTGTGCAGTCCGCGAGGTTGCGCCCTGTCCTTCCCCACGTGTCCCGCAGATGCGGCGGGGTGCGGGCAAGGCCAGCTCTGTGTGGAGGAGGGATCGGCGGTCACTAAGGTCTTTGCTTTCCAATTTCGTCTCCCTCGGAGGTGTGCATTTGTACCCAAACGTGTACTTTTAGCAGCTTCCTCTTAAGGAATCATTTTCCCTTTAGTGAGGATGACCTTTTGAAAAACAAAATCCACTTTTCATCCTTATTGAAATAATCTCTTTGATATATATTCTTTTTTCAAAACTTATCTTTACTGTTGAAACTATTACGTATGTCCCTGTGATTTATATTCTTACACAGCCTCGCTACATCATTGTCTTTTGGGTCCAAATTGTGGAACCAACTTGTGGGACTTAAGTTACTAACTTAAGTTACTTAATTGAGCCTATACTGAGCATCTGTCAGTTGGCCACTTGCAGCTTAACTCGTCTACTGTGCTTACCTTGCAGGATTCTGAGAAGTCAAAAATAAATAAATACTAAATCCAAGGCAAGACCCCCAATAATCGTGTTGTTGTTATTATAATTACTGCAGTGCTAGAGACTGTGGACATGTAGTTTAAAAGACCCAATTCTGACCTTACAGGCTGGTGGCGAGACATGCATTCTTATAATGAAGGTATTGTTAGGTATCATAAGAGCATAGAGATGAGCAGGTGCCTCTGTGTAAGCAAGTCAGGGAAAACGGAAGGCCACCGAGAGCAGACTGATGATGCCCTCACACGAGCAGGTGGTGTTTCTTCCAAGGATTTTGTGAGTAGTGCCTACCGTTCCCTGTGAAGCCGTCACTGTGCATTTTACATGACCCTTTCATTTTGTTGCCCATTTAAAACAAACACAAAGTAACAGCTCTGATGTGTTATCGTTTGTAAATGTTTGCCCTGTTCTACAATGAGTTTAGTTTGTATTTCCAGCCCAGCCAGCACATTACCTGTTGTTTCGCCCTTTGTGCTCCTCCACTCTTGCCCTTTGAACCTTCTCCTTTTTTCTCTGTCCACTCAAAACGGATGGAGAATTACTTTCAGTCATTGTTTTTACTGAAATATAATTGATCAACTTTTGTTTTAATTTAAAAGCAGATTGCTGAATGATTAGATATATTTCCAGGTGGGTCTTTTTGTTTTGTTTTGTTTTTGTTTGTTTTGTTGGTTTTTAAAAATTTATTTAAACGGATGTTTCCCCCTCTGACCAGAGGCTTTTGTAAAGGAACATTTCTTCTGTTAAAAATTCATGGAGAGTTGTGAGGAGGCTGGGATGGGAGGCAGGGAGAATCAAAACATGAGATGGTTCTGAGTGCAAAACAACTTAGGATCAGAACCTGGAGCATGATTTTAGTAACTAGCAAGAAAAACAGATTTATTTTGAGAGTCATAACCTATGCTCATATAGAGGCTCCTATGTCTTAAGACTTTTCATATTTCAATGAAGTATTGCTTGAATCCTCTATATGTTAATTACTTGTTTTAGGGAAACTATCGGCAAGATATAAATTTTTCCAAAGACCAGTGGTAAGATTTAATATTCTCTTCCACTCTGTTTTCTTTTGGAAGGACATATCAAGTGGGAGTCATTGAAAAACTTCTGTAATGTTAACAATGTTCATGAACTTAACTGAATCTGGTCATCTCAGTTATTTGGGACATTGTGTATATAAAGTTACGAGCTTGATATTCCTACTCTGGCCTAGCTAGTGCCACTCTGTTTCAAGGTAAAAGGTCTATAATTCAAAATGTAATCATTAGAAAAATAATTTTCCAGGGCAGTTGGTACTTGTAAGGAGGCCATGCATAAAAATTGTCAGTGCTGGAAAAACAGTATGTGCTTTAATACAAGGCCAATGAGCATGCCATCCCCGTATACAAAAGATGACATTATAAACTCCATATTGCATCTTCTGTATCTCAAACAAGTTAGTGAGTTATCTGCGTGTGAACATCATCGATGAAATTATAGAATTTAGCTTCATCTGGCATTCAGAACCTAGCATAAGTAATACAGTATTCTAAAAGTCACAGTAGATCTTAATCACAATTACAGTCAAGAGGACATTACAGAATATGGATACCTGAAATTATAACCATTGGAAAGCAAAACTTAAGGACAAAAAATAGATTTTAGACTGAAATTTCTGAACAAAAAGAACCCAAGGCTTGTCGCTTTTCCTCCTGGTGATTGGGATGTGCTCTGGAACAGTGGTTTGTAAATTTGGGACTGCGTATGAATCAACTGATTTCCATAGCCGATTCTGATGGACTCTAAAATTTGAGAATCACTGATCTTGTGACTAAAGTGTTAGTCCTGTGATTTTAGAATTGTTTGTTTCTCTGGTTATTGTGAGTTTCTCCCTCATTTTGTATTTTTTTGTATTAGCAACCTTTCCCCTCGATCTCACAAAAACTCGACTCCAAATGCAAGGAGAAGCTGCCCTGGCTCGGTTGGGAGACGGCGCAAGAGAATCTCCTCCCTACAGGGGCATGGTGCGCACAGCCCTCGGGATTGTCCAAGAGGAAGGCTTTCTAAAGCTTTGGCAAGGAGTGACACCTGCCATTTACAGACACGTAGGTATTTATCTTGATTCTGGCTGGTAAGTTTGTTTTGATTTCTGGGTTTGCCTCCCCTGCTTTTCTGTTTGGCTCTATCCAAAAACCAGTTAGTTTTTTCTACTCATGTGATAAATGAATATATAGTCTCTTAAGAAGAACAGAATTAACTACCAATTGTTAATAAGAAATTATTGCACTCAATTTTTAGAAATACATATAGAATTATTTAGGGATGAACTGTCATCATATCTGTAATATACTTTAAGATAATTAAGAAGCCCTAACCGGTTTGGCTCAGTGGATAGAGTGTCAGCCTGCAGACTAAAGGGTCCCAGGTTCGATTCCGGTCAAGGGCATGTACCTTGGTTGCGGGCATATCCCCAGTGGGGGGTGTGCAGGAGGCAGCTGATCGATGTTTCTCTCTCATCGATGTTTCTAACTCTCTATCCCTCTCCCTTCCTCTCTGTAAAAATCAATAAAATATATTTTAAAAAAATAAAAAATAAAATAAAATAATTAAGAAAAAACAAATAACATGAATCAAATATGGCAAAAATGTTAGCACTTTATAAATCTGAATTATAGATACTGAGGGAGTTATATATCATTTTCTCTACTTCTCTGTATGTTTCAAAATTTTCTTAATAAATTATTTTCAAGTTTAAGAAAAAAAGCATAATTTATGTATTTATCTATTATAGAAACTTTAAACACAAAATTAAAAATGTTTAGGTTCTTGAAAATTCAATATATTTGACCACAATTCCAAATCTCACCAATACATTAGAAACCAGGCTACTCTGAAAAGACAGCAAGCAAGGATGACTGTCTGTCCAACTCCGGCAATAGATTAAATGCAACGCAGGTGCTTTTTGTTGCTTGTTTCCCAGGCTACCTAACTAGCTAGCTATGTGGGCCTTTGGTCACTCTTGAAGGAAAATAGCGATAAGCACATTACAGCCAATGAGAGCACTTTTCTGCTCTGCTTCCCAAGTGGCACTCACAAAGATAGGAGGTGTTGAGTTTTCAGCTTGTGGACAGGGGAACATAAACTTGGCTTCAAAAGGTGGTAGGACAGTCCTAAGCAGTGGTTGGAGCATCAGCCCGAGAACTGAAGAGTCACCCTGGTCAAGGGCATGTTACCCCGGTTGTAGGTTCAATCCCTGGCCCTGGTGGGGGCACATGCGGCAGGCAACCAGTCCATGTGAGAGCACATTGATATCTCTCTCTCTCTCTCCCCCCCCCCCCTTCCCTTTCACTCTATAAAAAAAAATCAATGGAAAAAAATATCCTCAGGTGAGGATTGGAAAAAAAAAAGTGGTAGGACAGGTGTGGCATTTTTCTCTACATCATGTTTCCTCAACTATTGAAGGGATCCTTAATCAGAGAACTGCCCAGCAGTAACTTCCATCTTATTATTTTTAAAGCTTCAGTTTTTCAGATGAGTAAGTTAGATTGTATTCATCAAGAACTATCCAGAAATGTGCATAGAGACTGTTATTGTTGGTACTTTGTATATTTTTGAATATCTTGAAATATTTCATCAAACTTCCAGAAATATCAAGAAAAATTCTCTATATGAATATCATGTACTGATTTTAATGATTTTTACTTTTCATCCTTTTAAAAAATATTTTCTCCTTTGCTTCCCCCACTTCTTTTCATGTGTATTTGTTGACCACCATATATGGTTTTACAGTTAAGCTTAATTTCATATATTTGACACGACTGAAAAATGACTGTACTATAATAAAGTATCCAATAAAGTCATGTTTATTGAATGAAAATGCCCGCTGTTTACCCAGCTCTGTACTAGGGCATGTAGGGTAATGAAAACCTCATGGTCTGATGAAAAGGTGAGCAAGAAAATCAAGTCCATCTCTAATCAGTATGATAAATGCTGAATTAGATGTGTGCCTGTGTGGTTCTGTGGGAACACAGGGGAAGCAGCAGGTGCCATGACAGCCTAGAACACGGGAGCAAAGGTCAGAGAATGTTTCTGGAAAAGTAGTTCTCTGAGTTGAGTTTTGAAGATCGGAGGAGTTAGCAAAACAGAGAAGGGAGAATCCATGCAAGAAATATCAGCCAGCTGGTGAGAAGGCCTCAGGCTGGAAAAGGCGTGCCCATGAGGAGAGCCACCAGGAAGTCCGTGTGCCGGAGGCATAGGCTGCATGAGGAAAAGAGCCAGCTGGAGAGGTCGACCAGGCCAGGTCAGAGGTCCTCGTATTTTATTAAACATATAGCTGAATCCACTTTTTTCATGCTCTCTCTTACACAGTGTACTCTGGAGGTCGAATGGTCACATATGAACATCTCCGTGAAGTTGTGTTTCGCAAAAATGAAGATAAGCATTATCCCCTTTGGTAAGTTTTGTTTTGAAAATAAGATGCTATTGCCCCTAAGGTTTTAATGTTTTATCCATTAGATTTACATAAAATTATGCATTGTACTGCAATCACCTCAAGTTACAGGCTTAAAATAATAAATATTAACAATTTAAATCCAAATAATTGACCATTTACTGCACTTTGTATACAAATGTATATATGTACATAAAATTATGTATGATTTAATATTTTAATATTAAAAATTGTTTTAGAGCACATTCTCTATTCCTTTTTCTACTGAGAATTCCTAGGCTTTAGAATACGACAGAGATGGGCCCAAATTCCTGCTCTACCAACGTGCAACGTGGGCAAACTATTTGAATTTCAACTCTCTGTGGTCCTTTAACCTTGCCCTCTGTAAACAGACAGATCATCCACTTTCCTCTGATTTGTTTGGGTCTGTTCCTCATTTTGTCTTAAATGTCATATGCAAGGACTGTACCAGTGTGGTACTGTTTACTACAAAACTTATGAAATTAAGTCATCTTTAAAAATGTATCTCCTTGTATAATCAGGAAATCAGTGATTGGAGGGATGTTTGCTGGTGTGGTTGGCCAGTTTTTAGCCAACCCAACAGACCTAGTGAAGGTTCAGATGCAAATGGAAGGAAAAAGGAAACTCGAAGGAAAACCACTGCGGTAGGTTCGCTAATTAATGCACACCTTTCTTTCCCCCTTTGCCACCATCGTATTTTGAACATTTACCTAATGGACATATGCATTTTTGTAATTCAGCATTCAGTAAAGACATTAATCTTGACTCTTTTAATTTGAAAATTGTATGCATTAAGAGGAGAGCTAAGGTGGATCTTTTCTTTGCATGATAAACGTGCATATGTTCCCTACCAGACAAATTATGTGTGTACTGCTTTCCCAGCCCAGGCAGCAATATACTAGTAAAGAGTTTGATCATTAAAATGTGCCCTGCTCTGAATCCTGATTTAGCATGGTCTGGTGTTGTTGAAGTCAATTAATATTTCTAGTCTCTGCTTCTCTGACTCTACAAGGGGCCATCTCAGAATGTATACCTGACAGTGAGACTGCCTGGCTCATAGGTGCCAAAAGCTTAGCTTTCTTCCCTTTCTCCCTGAAAGAAGGGAAATAGCAAAGTTGACCTTGCAAATGGTTCCTGCTTCCCTGTCCAGTCTGCTTCTCTTCTTTTTACCAAGTTCAAGGAAGTTTTGGGAGTTCACTCCTGATTACTGCTCTCTGCTCTGCTGCTCCCTGAGCTGACTCAGTGGAAACGAGGTTGGACTGGGGAAGAGCCTGCACCACAGAGGAGAAAGGGAAACCACTCTGATTTAACCAAGTAGTTCATGGAACCCCAGGGCCTATTTTGTCATCTGGCAACAAGGTCTAATTACTCAGTAGCAGGGAGAAGTGATGTGGCCTTGGTTGGATATGTAAGGAGAGAACTAACTATTAGGATCCAGAAATAATCTGAATTGATTGCCTCAATTTTTTCCCTCTCTCATCTTTAATGTTGGAACTTTTTGGTTTGCTGTAGTAATAAAAAACATTGAATTCTGTTATAAAGAATATGAATGTTGGGATCAGATAACCTGGGATTCAGATCCAGCCTTTACCACATTTTAACTCTGTAACCTTAGTCAATTTCCTAACCTCTCTAAGCTTTAGTTTCCTCAGATGTAAATTGGAGTTAATAATACACACTTCATAGAGTTTTCAAAAATGAAATGTACCATATGTGTATAAAAAAAGTCTGGTGCTTAATAAGTGTACAATAAATTTTAGCTACATTAGCCATTTATGACCATACCTCCCATGTAGCATCGTAGCAATTATGCATGCCTAATAAATGTCATATTATCTTTTCAGTGCGACTCAGAAAGTGTAAGTCCTGAGCAAAAGCCACACAGCACAGCTAGTAAGTGGGAAAGGTAGCATTTGACTCCAGGTATTTCTAACTATATCAAATCCAGATCTTTATTTTAGACCAGAGGTTTCCAGATTTGGCCCATGGTTCAGTACCATTTTAAAAAATATATATATTTTATTAATTTTTTACAGAGAGGAAGGAAGAGGGATAGAGAGCTAGAAACATCGATGAGAGAAAAACATCGATCAGCTGCCTCCTGCACACCCCCTACTGGGGATGTGCTTGCAACCAAGGTACATGCCCTTGACCGGAATCGAACCTGGGACCCTTCAGTCCGCAGGCCGACGCTCTATCCACTGAGCCAAGCTGGCCAGGGCTCAGTACCATTTTTTTTATCTGTGTAAAGAAAAATAAGCAAAATAAGAATAAAATAGTAAATTTTGATAAAGCCAAAGTATTCTATTTTAAACCTCTTACGATGAGGTTGTCCTTCTTACTTTTTGGCCTAAAAATATTTCTTTAAAAGATTATGTGAGGATCATTGTTATTTGATGAAATTACAAAATTTGTAGGTCTCCCACAAAGTAGTAAAATGAACCCAGAGGTACGATAACTACTGTTCCCTCTTATAATTAATATGTGCACTGGTTATGTAAAATATCAAGAAAATAATTTTAATGTGTTCAAAAATTTGAGAAGAGGTTGACACAGTTTATAAAAGATTTCCATTAAAATGATTAATTAAATGTTGGCCTTTTTTCTAAAGGATTTTTAAATTTATCTGGAAATTAGATTTCTGTGGATTGCTTTAATTTCTAACAATTCTGAGTAATTAAGATGTTATTTTACTTCAAATCATAACAGCTATACAGTGGGGCCTTGACTTACGAGTGTCCCGACTAACGAGTTTTTTGAGATACCAGCTGTCTCTCAGCCGATTTTTTTTGCATTGAGTTGATAGAGTAATTTGAGTTAACGAGCTCCTTAACGAGCTCAGTCTTGGAACGAATTAAACTCGTAAGTCAAGGCCCCACTGTATAGGCAAGCTTATCCAGTTGCATTCCATACAAAGGAATGCATGCAGCTTTTACATTCATTATTATTTTCCCTTAGATTTCGTGGTGTGCATCATGCATTTGCAAAAATCTTAGCTGAAGGAGGAATACGTGGGCTTTGGGCAGGCTGGGTTCCCAATGTACAAAGAGCAGCGCTGGTGAATATGGGAGGTAATGGAAACTTCATTGAATTCTGAGAAGCGTAATAACTTTAATAATTATTGGCACTCACCTCAGAAAAAATGAAAAATGTTACTATTTTTTAATAACATATACTGACAATAGTCTTCTTTTATGTTGTACAATAATTGAGAATTTTCCTTAGAGCATTTTTACTTTTTGGTATGGCATGTGAAAAGGATTTCCAAAAATAAGCAAATTGTGACAATAAAGATATAAGACCAAATTATTTATAAGGTCTCCTCTCTGCTCCACACCTTCTCTAAGATTCAAAAGACATTCATTGTTGAATAAATAAATAGTTGTCTTCTTTTTCTTTCTATTGCCAGATTTAACCACGTATGATACAGTGAAACACTACTTGGTATTGAATACAACACTTGAGGACAATATCATGACTCACAGTTTATCTAGGTAAGTGGTTGTTTTAATTTTAGACTTTATTTTTTTTCTCCAGATCACCTTTTCTTCCATATTTGACATACATTTTTTTTGTCTCTTTTGATTGGGAATCTAGGGATATCACACTTAGAAAAAGGTGATAGTATATTTATAAAAAGCAGTTTTCTTAAAGTTTGTTGCAGTTGAAATGGAGAAGACAGAGACGAAGTTGTAGAATGTTGTAGATTAAACTTCCCCAAATATTTGCACCTTGTTGGGGCCCTGCCAGGGTCAGATTCTAAGGATCAGCTCTCCAGCTCATTGAGCATCTTCTATGTTAAAGGCACTGTGCAGGGCCCTTGTAGTCAGTACAGAACGTAAACCCAATTCCTCCGCAGTATGTTTACCAAGACAGAAAGCAAGATAAGCATAAAAACACTGTACAGTAAATGACTAGTTACTGTAGAGTTCGGAGGAGGGAGAAGTAATAACCACTTGGAGGGGATAGAATTAGATATGTGTCTTGAAGGGCTGTGCTTTTGATAAATAGAGACAGGAAGAAGAGCATTCCAGGAAGGAGTAGTACGTACCTTTATCTCTGCAACAATTTCAAATATCCATTAGAATGAGTTATTTTTTAGATGTCTAATATCCTTAACATTATAGTGATTTTATTTAGCTCCTTACCTTGTTTCCAAATTCTAGAACCCTTTATGGTGTTTGGACAACCCCAAAAGTATATTAATAGTGCCAAACCAATGATATTTGAAGACATATAGGTAGAGATAAAATGATTCCTAATTCAGGTTCAACTTAACTAAATATTCCTGTGGTAGTGTTTCTTCATTCTTCCTCTTTTAAAATCAGTGTTGTCTTTAGTGTTGCTAGGGCAATCTTTTTATATGTCTTTGCTTACTGTTCTTTCCCATTCCAAACTCTTACCCAGGTGTGTTCACACCATACATCCTCTGGCCTCTTCCTAGAGCACTGAGAATTTTAGGGCTCCTTCCACTTTAACCTCCATCTCCATAAACATATGTGTTGTATCTGTAGTCACTCATACGTTTCTTTCCTCCACTATCTATGTGCATGCTGTCCCCTCTGCCTATGAGACCTTCTTCACCAGTTTCTACCCAGTCAAGTCATCTTGAGACTTAGCTTTCCAGATGCTTGTCTGGACCAGTGTATGCTGTACTGTGGGAACAGGTTAGTCAGGTCTTTCTGAAAGTCCCACGGTGATATCATCTGTTTCTTGTTTCTTTTACCTTATCTTTCTAACCAGATAGTCTTTGAAATCCCACACTTCTCACCTAAGATTCATGGATTTCCCAGCAGGAGTAAATCTGTTTAATGTACATGACTCCCAGATATACCTCCCAGATAATATCTTTTTTGGAAAGACTTGAAATTTCCAGCCAGTATATATTCCAGCCCTAATATGAAATAACTTAGCTTTATTCTTCTCTAATTCAGGTTTTGAGAAAATGGGATGATTGGTATTTGGCTCATTTTTTGAGCTCCACCCACTGGATCAGGTTTTTAAGTGCATTGCATGAGTATGTATAGTATGTGAGACAGCTCAAAGTTGCTTACTGTGAATGCAAATCTAAGTAGGTAAGTAGTGCTGTGTGATCTGAAAGTTGTGGATGCTGTGTCGTAGGATAAAATGAATGCTCATGGGTGCGTGAAGGGGACTGCAACTCTACAATCAGAGAGCTTTACCCAAGCCATCAACATCTGGGGAAAAGGAGTTCAATATGAAGAATAATAAAAATGGTGTAAGCTCTGGACTACACACTTAAACATGGTGAAAATGGCAAACTGTATGTTATGTATATTTTAGCACAGTTCTTTAAAATGGTGTAAGTAAAATGAAGTCCTGGAGTAGGGCAGGAGCCATAGAAGCCTGTGGCTAGGATTTTGATTTTAGTGAAGGTGGGAAGGCAGGTGACAAGGTATGTTAATAGGAGAAAAAAATGAAAGATGGGAGTAGAATTAATGGTCAGGAAATTGTATAGAACAGAAAGACCAGGATAATCCCCTTTTTTGTTTTTGTAAAATCATGAGGCTATTAGGTAAAACTGAGAAGGTCAGTCTTCATTGTGTGAAGATTATATGTGAGCATGGTTATTTAGTTGATCATGAGGAGTATTGCTGATTCTGACACAGTGCTGATGGGATATTTTAAACTAGTTTTGTAGAGAACCATTGGTCTCCTAGAGAGAACAGAAGACTTGTCCAGTCACCTCTGTCCATTTTCACTTTCACCGTGTCCTAGGCCTCATTTTGGGCTATTACTAGCAAGGCGTGATAAAGGTCAATAGCAAAGTACCCATGCCCGTTACGAGTAGCCTGACGAAATAAATCTCCTGTTATTGTCCTATCTTCTTACTTTGACTCTAGGTGTCATCATACTTGAGGTCTTTTTAATACATTACTTGCTCTCTTTTAATATTTATTTTTTAAAGGTGTCCAGCCAGATCATACTGTGGCATCAAAACAATTTGATAAGACGATGAGGCCATCAGCAGTTGCATTCCTAAGGTCTCTGTTTATTATTTTACACAATGTTCCTTTCTAGCTTTCCATTAGCCAAACATAAGCTACTCTCTAGGCTTCCATGATCCCATACTGTGGACTCAGCTGCCAACTTCTGGACTTTGGGCCTCTATTTTCTGTAATCAGGTTGGCCACCCCTCTTCTCATCAGATGCCTTTCTCTTGGAAAACTTTAAGTAGTTAATGAGTTGTCTGTTTATGAAATTTTGATTATGTTCCTGTGTTATCTCCCTCATGTCTGTACACATCATGAACTTATAGTGGTTTCTTAACTTTCCAGTCACTCATTTACATACTCTTGATTTACTATAAAGTTGACATTCATTTTGTCACTTTTGAGTAGTTGACAAGAAACCTTTAACAAGAAGGAATGATTAATCTTGTTGGGTAAAGAGAGAGGGATAAGCAGAAACTCCTCAGACCTTGTGCCTGAGCATAGATTGAAGAAAAAACTGGCAATTTTCCAATTATATGGGGAGCGGGGCATTCCAAATGAAAGAATTAAAGGCATGGAGGTATTGGTTAGTGTGGTAAGTACAGAACTTAATTATAGCATTAGAGCATAATGCACAGAGAGAGAATACCTGGAATAAAATCAAACTCCTTCAATGGCCTTCATGGGCTGAACTCTGTCTGCTTCTTTAGTCTTTCATCTGGATGGACCCTCTTGAGGATGCTGCGGTCACGTGGTTGCTTTCCCCCTCTGACACACCAAGAGTATTCCTGACTCAGGGCTTTTACTGTGCTCTTCCTCCTGCTTGCAATGCTCCTCCTCCAGGTCTTCGCATAGACACTTTCTTCTCTGCTGCGCTCCCTTCACATTACCCCGTTTTATTTTTCATAGTGCTTATCAGCACCTGACATTACTCATTTTTCCTGTGCCTGTCCACCAGTGGAGTGTACGTGCCTCAAGGGCAGGATCTCATCGTCTTGTTCTGCCTACCCCCAGTAGGTTTTCAATGTATAATTGTCTTATTTCCTTTTTAGTGGACTTTTGTATAAGTCATCCACTGACTGCCTGATTCAGGCTGTCCAAGACATTTCTTTTGTTTTTCCTTTTTTCTACCTCTTTAATGAATTTAGCATTTATTTTAAGCTAAAAGAGCATTATGAAAGATATTATAGTAATTTATTTAGTATTCTATTCTTCCTAAATGTTAAATTCCCTTTTATTAAAATTTATAACTGATACCTATTATCATGCAATTTCATCTATTTGTATTTATAGTTTCTGTTCTGGACTGGTAGCTTCTATTCTGGGAACACCAGCTGATGTCATCAAAAGCCGAATAATGAATCAACCACGAGATAAGCAAGGAAGGTAGGTGGAAAGTCTTCAGTGTCCATGTGTCTGAATGTCTGTAATAACATTGATCTTTAAAGACGCTTCCCTGTTTATTCTTGATAGAAATGTATTTGTGTGTTTGTGTGTTCAACCAGGAAGTTGTTTTTATGCAATTACTTGCTCTTTGTCTGATGAAAAAGTACTGTGCCTTTGGGGAAATGAGCTAATTTAACAATCATATTTAGACAAAAGATATTTATTGTGACTTTATTGTTTTCAAGGAGGTTTTGAAAACATACTCTGCTGAGAATTTACAGAGTACTTTCTTCAGAAGCTTATGACTTACAGGTAACATGGAGAATTTGATCTGACATAAAACAGTATTTTCTCTCTGGAAGAGATCAGGTAGAGTGAATTCTAAGTATAAAACCAAGGGTGGGATGAATCAGAAGAGTCAACCTTAAAAATATCTTTAAACTCAAAAAGGTGATCTATATACAGCAGGTCTTCAAATAATGTCGTTTCATTCAATGGTGTTTCCTTATAATGTTGATGAGCTGCCGTAGGAATTTAACTCTTGTTTCTATCAATTAGCTTGTGGTGAATTGGTTTTGTGAATACACCATTTTGCTTGAAGTCGCAGAACCTATCAACATTAAGTGAGGACTTACTGTATACAGAACCACAAATAGTATTTGTTCTAAACAAGCAGGAAATATTTAACTTATAGCAAGTTTCCTTAGTCTATTTTTAATTTATATTTATTTATTCTCACACAAGAAATTTAACAGAATTGTCTTGTTTCCTTTTCAGGGGACTTTTGTATAAGTCATCCACTGACTGCTTGATTCAGGCTGTCCAAGGAGAAGGGTTCATGAGTCTGTATAAAGGCTTTCTACCATCTTGGCTGCGAATGGTAAAGTTAGGTCTTTCCTTCTGTTGTTTTTGTTTTATTTGTACTTAAATTACTTTTAATCTATAAGTATTTTCCCTTTTCTCTTCTGGCATGGCCCTGCCCTCAAACCATAGTTCTTTCTTTTGTTATCTTTGACTTCTCATCAGAATTCTATTACCTTCTTTGGTAGATTAAAGTAAAATAATTCAGTTATATACAGAAATTAATAGATTGATACTCTGTTGTTATAAAGCCAGTGGATAGATTTTTCTGCATTGTGAAGCCTTTAGTAGTCTATTTAGCCAAAATATTGTCATTTTGGACAGATGTACTGATTTAATACTGGAGATCATTCCTACAGAAATGCTAAAATTTGTTAGTTTGATGGCACATGTTGCATTACCCATTGATATTTATTATCACAAAATTCTGCTTAGTAAGAAAGCATTATGTCATTTTTATTTGGTTCAAATGTTTTTTTTTAGAATTAGATAGACTTATTTAAGAAACATAAAACTATATTAAAAACAAAGTACCCAAATATTTTGTAAGTTCGAAAATATCTGAAAGAATGGCTGAGTTGTGGGTTTAGAAATTCAAACAGTCAATAATTTACACCATATAATATTAATTGCGTGCCTACGCCTTGCCAAGCCCTGGACTCAGAGTGGGGCTTTGAGACAAATGGAAGATTCTCGGCCCCTGTCCTAGTGCTGGAGCTTTTAGTCTAAGTGAGGAAAGCATTGACTAAGAAGCTAGAAGTGATGAGAAGTAGGAGAAAGTGCATGGTGTTGTGGGACTTTATAGCAAGTAAGTGTAGCCTAGGCTGAAAGAATAAGAAAACTTTTTTGGAGAACGGACTTTTGAACTGAGATGAGGAACGAGTAGTACTTAGCCTAGTGAAAAGGGCAGAAAGGATCATTTTAGGTGGAGGGAATAGTTGGAGTGGATGGAGAACATGATGAGTTCAAGGAACTGCAGGAAAACCAGTAAGCCAAGGCCCAGGGACATGGAGGACAGCAGCACAGGCTGAGGCCAAAAGGGCAGGGACCAGACTGGAAAGGGCCCCGTGATCCATAAGAGTGAGGGCACCAACTGGATGACGTGTGTTTTTAAAAAGAGCATTCTTGCTGCCATGTGGTTCTGGAAAAGCCTAGGAGTAGTGATAGATGAAAGGTAGTGATGGCTTGGACTAGAGTATAACAGTGTGGACAAGAGAAGATAAAATTTAAAAATATGTAGAAGATAGAAATGTGGCTGGAGAAGACAAAAGTCTGGCTTCACTCCCACATTCTACCCTGACAGATGAAGAAGATTTTGTGGTAGAATAACAAGTTTAGTTTTAAATGTGTTAAGTCTGAAAACATATCTAGATGATTACCTTCACATATTGGTCTGGATCTTGGACTACGAGGATGGAGATTTAGATCTGAGCACCCTCCACATCTAGATGGTCATCGAAGCTTTGGGAATAAATGATGTCACCCAGGGATGGTATCTACCTATTAACATGAAATTAACTGCCAAAGCCATTGCCAATATCTGATGCAAAAGTGTACCCAAGTTGTAAAACATTACTTTGACTGTCTAGATCAGTGGTTCTCAACCTGTGGGTCACGACCTTTTTGGGGGTCAAACGACCCTTTACCATCGGAAAACACATATATAATTACATATTGTTTTTGTGATTAATCACTATGCTTTAATTATGTTCAATTTGTAACAATGAAAATACATCCTGCATATCAGATATTTACCTTACGATTCATAACAGTAGCAAAATTACAGTTATGAATTAGCAACAAAAATAATTTTATGGTTGGGGGGTCACCACAACACGAGGAACTGTATTAAAGGGTCGCGGCATTAGGAAGGTTGAGAACCACTGGTCTAGATTATACCTTGAAATTATCTTACATCTGTGGGTATTTCTTATTGGAAAGGAAGATTTTTATTTGGCCTGCAGGAACCAGGCACTATTATAAGTGCTGGTAACACAAAGGAATAAGATGTTTACTTTTTGCACTAGAGGAGGTTACATTGTGATGGAGAAGATAGATATATATTTAAAAGTACAGAAATAAAGCTAGTATTACCAAAATCATTTGGTATGTAGTCAGTACTGTGCTAATCATTTTTACTGCTTAACTCACGGTCTTCTCCCAACAATCTATTTAGCAGGTTACTATCATATCTCTCTTTTATAGAGGAGGAAACAAAAACTTAGAGTTTGGATACCTTGGACAGGGCAGGTGGTTAACCAGTGGAGTTGGGGCATTAAAGTCAGTCAGCCTGGCTCCAGAGGACATAGTCTTATTAAGGAGGTTATATTAGTACTTTGCCAGTGGTATGGCCAAAACACTGTGGGAACATGAATAGTGGAGTAAAAATGGCTTTAACTATTTAGGACACCATAAAAGCCTTCACAGAGGTGATAGCTGATCTAAGCTTTGAAGGATTAGTAGGCATTTGTCAAGAGTAACATGGGTATCAAAGAAAGGTAGCATGGGCATCAGGTCACGTGAGGGCCTGGTGTTGGGAGAACTGCAGAAAATTCATCGTGGCTGGAGAGCAGGCTTCACAGGGCAGTGGTAGGAGAGAGTTCTAGAGAAGTACTTAAGGACTCAGCTGAGAAGGACCTTGTTGGCCAAGTTCTGTAGTTTAAGTGTAATACTGTGGTTATCAAGCAGCTGCTAAACATGGGAGCAAAGAGCTTGGATTTGTTTGGGGACAAGATTACTTTGGCAGCAATGAATAAGATAATTGAAGGCTAAGATACAAGAAAGGAAGTTTTGGCAGTGATATAACCAGCAGATAATTGTAGAAATGGAGAGAAAACAACATTCTAGGGACACTTATGGTTAACTCTACAGGACTTAGTAACATTATAGGTAGAAGGTGGGGGAGGGAAAGAGGAAATGGGACTTCTAGGTTTCCAGTGTGGGAGACTATGAAGCTGGGTGAGACCATTGGTGATAAATAAAATCAGGGTTAGGAGGAGTGAGGGGCAAGAAGAACATCCAAGGACAAAGAAATACTGAGACCACATAGATAACAACAACAAAATGAGTACTTAATATATGCCAGCCTCTAACCTCAGCTCTCTACACACATTAATTATTTTTTAAAGTCCTACAAGAATCTATTAAAACAGGAGGTGTTAGCCTCATTTTTCAGATGAGGCAACCATGGCTCAAAGTATAAGAAACTTGCTCAAGTTCATATTGCTAGTGTGTGGCAAAGCTAGGAATTGACTGTTTAACTCTAAACCCATGCCTCTGAATAATGCAGTATACTGAGTGTCTCAAGATCCTACAGCTAGTTTTAGAAGTTTTAAAAGAAAAGAGAAAGTGTGTAGCAATAGAGCCTTGTTACCAGAGAAAGGCTGGTGAACCACCAGAGATCACCGGGGTGACATTGGCCTGTTGAACTGACACAGTGCATGACCCTGACCTTAGAAATCTGACTCATGAGTATGTCCAAGAAGATTGGCCTTGAAATTGATGAGTGAACCACAGTATCATCTCAGTCACATTGAGAAACACACATAGCCAGTGATTCAGATGCTGGACAGCGTGCTTCCTCCTACATTGAAGCAATAAGGGAGCCAAGTTACAATCAGAAGATTGCTTGCTGAACACAGAATAATGATGAGGAAGAGCCGTTTGTAATCTTAATACTTAAAACTATCAACTCAAGAGCTCTTATGTATTCAGCTCCTCAGTAATAGGCAAGGAGAAGGACTCTGCTGTTTTCCCAAGAGTGATGGCAATTGGTAGAGCAGAGCAGGCAACATGGGTGCATATATACTTGGATTTTTTTCAGTGGTACAGCTGTGCCAGTGAGGAAAAAACTAGTAAATATGCACTACCCACATATACACCTGCACAGAGGCTCGGTGTACCCCATTTATATACTACCCATGTTTTCTGGCTTTGTGGTCTCCCTCTTTAACTTCTGTTCAAAACCCAGCTGAACTCAATCCCAATCCCTTCCACCAGGAGGAGGCAATATGACCTCGCTTTGCTCAATCCCTGATTAATATAGTACTACATTTTGTTTGCATATAGTGTGGCAGCTATGTCACTAACTTGAGGAAGAAGTCTAATGACCAGAGCAATTAGGAATAAATGCATAGTCCATTCTTAACTAAGGCCTCTGCTCCTTGCTCCATCTACAGTTATGTTCGTGGTTCACTTCATTGTTATTGTCACAAGAATATGATATCATCACAGCTTCGCATTATTTTGCGTATGTCTTCAGACATTTAACTGACGCAGATGTGGTCTCCTAAATCCACTCTATAGTAAATTCTCAGTCTATCAATATACATTAATATTTCCAAACACATTGACATATATATTGCTTTACAAATTGTCTAACCAAATACATTCTATAGTCTAATTGCTTGAGTTTATATCTCTATCTTGATATTGTTTCTCTCTGATCAACATTACCCATCACCTATGAACCAAAACATACAGGAATGGGATCCAAGGCACCCTTTCTCTAATGGTTACTTCCAATGTTTATTCTGTGATTTCCCTGTGTCCTTTAGCATTTTATAACTATTGTTGAATAACCCTCATTCCCTTATGTGTAATTCCTTTTGGCACAGTTATAACTTCATTCAAGTTAGTCTTTCTGAGCTGGAAGCTCTTCTCTAGTTAACATGAATTTTTACACCCATTTTGTGATACCCTAGGTGTTGGTTTTGTGACCTCTCAGGATATTTTTTCATCTTCACTTTCAATCTTTTAGTGCCTCCTTGTCATCTCCGTATACACCAAATGTAGAGGAGCCAGCCTGGAATTCAGACATGCTCAGCCTGAGCCTTTAGGCAGTTACATGCAGTAAAAAGAACTCTGGGATGGAGGCCAGAAGCCTGTAGTCTAGATCCACAACATGTTATTAGGCATTTGATTGCTAAGCCTCAATGTCCTTGTCCTTAAAATGGGGATATCAACTATAAATTGTTCAGAGAAAATATATGACAGGAAAATGTTCGGTGAGAAATAATGCTACATTAAAATATTTTGTGCATTATAAGGTGTTTTGCAAGGGCAAAATAAAAATATTTGTTTTTAGCCTAGGTAGATTCAAAATGTCTTTGACATTTAAAGATGTTATACATATATGTAAAATATTCAGAATTGCTTTAAAATGTGCACTAACTTCTTTGGTTAATTTTGCAGACCCCTTGGTCACTGGTGTTCTGGCTTACTTACGAAAAAATCAGAGAGATGAGTGGAGTCAATCCATTTTAAGCCCTTAAAGAGACAGTGTTCAGTATCAGTGAAATATGGGCATCTGCAACACCCCCCTATTATTTCTACCTCGTTAGGAAGACACTTTCCACTGCAGAGACTGTGATTTATAGGGGAGAGCACTTTGTTTTTCTCTGGAAGCCCGAGTTCCCTTTGACTCCTCTTTGTTCAGAAGCAATCTGCGTGGATAACACAGGCCACCCAGTGGACCCAGCAGAGCACTTTCTAAAGACGAATGCAAGCCTGACCACTTCCCTTGGGAGATCTGACCTTTGAGACGTTATTCTGTGCTGAAGAGAATAACAGGAGAAGTGCCAGTGGGAGACAGCAGCTCAGCTCTGGAGTAGACAATAGGGATGGGGAAGAATACACACATACATAGTGACGAAGAAATATATTTAACCCGTTATGTCAGTATTTCCCATTGAAACTTGATAATTCACTTTCCTGTTGTTGTTAACGTGCACATACTGTACATTACATAGAAGTGGATGAAAATTCATGAATAAATACTTTGAATTTCCCTAGTGTTGAAGGACGTTAATGTACCTTTTCTTGCCAGGAAGATGAAAAAAATCAAGGTGGTAGGATGTTTGAATTTGAAGGAAAGAAGCTGCTTTCTGTCAGCACCCCGTGGTTGGTTAGACCTGTGTTAACTGGTCAGCACTCCACGCACCTGCTGGGGGCTTCTGACAGCCACAGACTGAAGCTTGATGAAAACAGAGTATTTACTTTGTCCCATGTCCCACTACAACCTGGATTTGTTGCTAGCTCTCAAGAAACTTCAATATATTAAAAATTCAACTCACTTGATTAAAGTGCAGGTGGATAGATCTTTTTATAAAGCATCTTGTTACCATAAGCCCTTTAGTGGCAATTTAAAAGCAAGGCTGAGGTTAAGTCAGCCAGTTCTGACATGTCCTGGTACCCTCTCTTATTCCCCTTCCCTAACACTGAGGACTCTAGAAAGAGAGAGCCAGAACTCAGAAGTCACACTGAAGCTGTCTCTAGCCTGAATCTTACTCAGTTTGACAGAGCTTCCTGCCAAAAAGTGATAAACTGCCTATGATATAGTTATATCTCCTTCCAATCCCTGAATCACATCCATTTTCTAATTTTAGAAAGATGAGAGAGTTCTTCAGATTCACCCGTATCCACCTGCTCCCCCAGCACCAGACAGTGGGCATGTCTGGATGGATGGCTACAGTTATGGGTAAATGTTGTAACTGTCAAAATAGGAAAACTCAGAAAGCCCAGACCTAAGAAACCTGACCTTGAGGCTAACCAAACAATCGTTATGGACCTAGATGCTGTTGAAAAGGTTTACAGGTGCTCTGTGGTTGCACTAATGCACAATCACTGCCATTGAAGAGGGGAAATGTATCTAAATATATTTTCGTGTGATGTACTAATTTGCTGATTTTTCTGTACAGTTTGCATGAAATCTTTAGGTGGTGTAGTTTCCCACTGCATTTGTCAATCTGTATGAATCGAGTTGTTAAATGCATTTAAAATAATGTTACGTAATTACATTCCCAAGTGTTCTGCATTAGAAACACTTGGAGAACTTCTGTTATTTTATGTTTGATAATAATTAATATTAAGTAAAGACTTAATTTCTTATTATACTGGATCAAAAGAACTATATGCAACTGTACCCTAAAAATATTTATTTAGCTTTATAAATAAATAAATAACACTGCTTCGGTTTTTCGGGTAAAAACACTGCTTAAGTACCAAGATGATTCTTTGGTACCTGGACTCAACATGAGTGATTGGAATTTTTTAACCTGAAATGACTCCCTGGAACCATCTGGTTTAACCCTTTCATTTTACATGTTAGAAAACTAAGGCTCAGAGACTTAGAGTTGTTCATGCTTGTAAGTTACTTAGTAGGAGGGCCAGGATAAAAATACAGATCTAATTACAACTAACAGCTATTGTACCGATTTTTCTTTATGGCATTTTTTGTCTTATTCATGTTAACTTCAGTTGCCTTTAGCGTAAATTTTAAAATGGAGTCACCGTGCTTTCGTTTGAACATTAAGACCCTCATACTCTGACCAAATCCTGTATATTTAACACATATAAGCCCATCATATTCACATTTTTCCAGGGAAATCATGTTCATTCATGTATTTTGGAACTTTGCTTTACTTTTACCAATTTAAAATCATCTTGCTCCTCTCCAAAATAATCAAAAGTAAATAAAAAGGAATAAAAAGTTCAGTAATTTTGTGTTCATACTAAAAGACTTAACCATTTTAATCTCACATTCTTATTACATTATTTCAGTATGTGGTTTTATCTTCAATTCAGAATTGATAACACTTAACATCTAAGTTTCCTTTGCTTAACCTCCACATTTTTTTCTCTTCCTAAATCATTTTTTCTGGTTGAAAAAAATATATATATATTCTTACTTTTAGTTATATAGTTATTTATTCTTTATAAATGACTTAGCATATATATCTAAATAGATAACAGTTCCTAAATTTGCTTTTAGTAAGGAACAATATGTCTTTATCAAGTTCTCCAAATGTATATTTTATTGTGACTAGGGGTAGGACTATGTCTTTATGTCTTGAGATTTTATATATATATATATATATATATATATATATATATATTGATATATATGTGTATATATAGTGATATATATATGTATATATCACTACTCACTAGTAGCATTTCTTTGATAGGTACTCAAAAAATGTTGATTACAGTTAGAGCATGAATCAATTAATTTTCTCTTCATTATTTTCAGACTCTGACTATCATAAAACCAGTCTGAAATTGCTTACATTTTGCTAAGAAAAAGTAAACATTCAGAAATGTAAAAAAAAATTGCTGTTCTGTTATTTTCAAAGATTTAAGCACAGCTATTTATTAACAATTTAAATAGTTATGTCTGTTTTTCTTCGTTAATGAAAATAGATTCCCTCAGGACCTGTGGTTAAAAAAACAAATTGGGAGGGGGGGCTATTTAATTGTCTTTTTCTCAGTTAAACATTGACTCTTAAAAATAATTACCAAACAAGTATATATTATAATTAAGTGCCAGATAATGTGGAAGAAGGACAGCGTGGGTTCTAAAGACCTTTATCAGATTTGGGGTTCTACTCTGACAAAGTCTAACTATAATCAGTGTCCTTCACTTCTCTTGATTTCTACTTCTTGATAAAGTGAAGTGATTAAACTCTAGAATCTTAAATTGCATAGACTTGAAGGGGGCCATTATATTTATGCCAGGTGAAAGATAAGATTAAAAGTATTCATTGGGATTTGTTTTCTGGACTTAATTGATTTGTCATATTTCAAGATTGGGAAAGGTTTATTCAGGCATTAAAGTATAACACAAACTTAAACAAAAAAGATTGAAAAGTATAGTACATTTTATATGGCTGGCCTGTCTCACTCAGAAATCCACCAAGTAGCAGTCATCTTCAGACAACTCTGGGCATGTCAGCCCATATTCTTCTCTTTAATTGCTCCTTTCTACACACAATAAAAATTAAAATTCTTAGTACTATATACAAGAACCTCTCCATTGGACTCCATTTTTCTAACCTTTGCATTTCACTGCCTACCTGCACTCTACCTCCTTTTACAGGCATTGCTCACTGATTTCTCTGGAGATGCTCACTGCTGCCTTTCATGCAGTGTTCACACTGGGCTCCCCAACAGACTTTCCACCATCACTACTACCCATCCCTCCTCATTTCCATCAGTTACATCCAGAAGTAACATCTAGAATGACCTCTGAGGACCTAGACATCTTCAACCCCCGTCCTCCCACTGCCTCTCCTACTGCGGCTATATGTCTGAATGTATGGGTGTGTGCCTGTGTCCCCTCCGCTACATCTCTGTTTCTCATACAATTCAAACAGGAGCCAATAAAAAGGTATTGATTGAATTCAGAGATTTTTGGGGGGTGGAGAGAGAAAAATTTATGCACACATGGTTAAGTCATTTGTTGTTTTCTTCCTACTGTCGGAGTAATTAAGTTAAGTCAGTAACACTTGATTTCATGAGATTCTTGACCATATTACCAGTAAATGCTTAACTGCATTTTCCTAAGATCACATGTTTACATGTATGTAATTAACATTTTAAAGAGGTATTCATCAGTTTAATAGCTATTCCACAAAAACCTAGAATTTGGAACTTTTAAGTAATACAAAACATTTGGTTAGTTAATTAGTAGTTAATACATATATGATGAGTTTATGTTATTCTTCATTTTAGAGTGTCTATGGAAATGATTTCACTCTTTTGGCCTTCATTGCTGCCATACAAATGCACATTTTACCCACTCAAGTGTTTTGTTTTGAATTTTGAGGGATACATGATTATTTTTCTCTCCCCATACTTTACCCCCAACAGGCTGCTGTAATTGTCAACAGCAGCAGGATCCACTTTGAAGGTTTGATAAAAGCAGATGAAGATGCTTAAAGATGTCTGTTTGCTGAAAATATCTGGTAACAGGAATGTATGTGAGTAAATATAGTGCATTCTAATTTTTAAAATAAATGTTTTAAGACTCCTCGCTGGTTGTTAAGGGGTTTGTTTTGTCCTGATGTGTAGTTTTATCCTGGTGTATTTTTTAGTTAAAATGATAACTTTATCATTTTTAAATCTTAATCTTTACTTTTTACAAGTGTAAAAGAAACTGGCTTAATTTAGGATGTCAGAGCTGAAATAATTATTTTAGAAAAAAGGATGCTCATACCTTATCACTATAATAAATCCATTTTGGCTGTTAATCCTGTTCTCCCTACTAATCTAGTTCTGCTCTGTCTACAAAGAATGGATAACTATTAATCACAAAGATGGATATGCTCAGGAGCTGAGGGCGGAAGAGGAAAATAAAAATGGGAATTGCTTTAAACATTAGAGAATTAGTCCCTCCTTTTTGATAGCATGTTCTACTTTAATTTCCATGATACTATTCCCTCTTGTCACTTATATTTTCCATTACTATTTTTCAGTCTCTATTGGCTACTTCTTTACTGCCAAGTCTTTAAATTTTGGTTCTCAAGGTTCTAATTTTGCCCCCCTTCTCAATTTCACTCTCTCTCTAGGAAAAGCCACGCATTTCTGTGACTTCGGCTACTACACTTGGGCTGGTTTTTCCAAACACACAAAAAGCACTCAACACATGGTAGGCACTCATTACCCGTATTTCTACTCCTTACTCATTTCTCAAGCTTTAATACTGTTTCATCAATTGCCAATTATATATCTACAGCAGGATGGCCCACAGTCCAGTGACCTCAAGTTTCCCAGTATTAAGTCATTTTCTTTCTTTTTTTTTTTACAACTCCTTCCTCCCTACCCTTTAAAATGTGCTCTTCCAGGATTCTCTGTTGCATGACACAACCAGTACAGCAGCCAAGAAACCTGGGGACACCCTTAGCTTAGAACAATTTCTTATTGTTCAAAATGTTTAAATCCATTTATAAAAAAGAGATCAAAGTCTCTTGTGAACATAGATGCAGTAAGTACCACTTCACACCCATGAGGATGGCTATTATAAAAACAAAATGCAAAATAACAAGTGCTAGGGATGATGTGGAGAAATTGGAACTCTTATACATTGCTGGTGAGAATGTAAAATGGTACAGCTGCTATATAGAACAGTATGGGAACTTCCTCAAAAAATTAAACAGAATTATCCTATAATCCAGCAATTCCCCTTCTTGGTGCATACTCAAAAGAACTGAAAGCAGAGATTTGAACAGATGTTTGTATACTAATGTTCATAGCAGCATTTTTCATAGCCAAAAGGTGGAAGCAACTCAGATGTCCATTGATGGATAAATGGATAAGCAAAATGTGGTATATACCTACAATGGAATATTATTCAGCCCTAAAAATGAAGGAAATTCTGAGACATGCTATATCATGGATGAATCTTGAAAACATGCTGCGTGAAATAAGCCTGACACAAATGGGCACATAGTGTCTGATTCTACTTATATGAGACACTACAATAATCAGAAAGTAGAAGAGGATTACCAGGAACTTGGGTAGAGGAGAATGAGATGTTAGTGTTTAATGGGTACCTAATTTCAGTTTGGGATGATAAAAGAGTTCTGGATGTGGATAGTGGTGATGGTTGCACAACAATGTGAATGTACTTAATGCCACCGAACTGTACATTTAGAAATGGTTAAAGTAAATTTTAAGTATATTTTACTAAAATTTTTTATATATAAAAAAATTTAAAGAGCATGAGTATAGTTGGAAATATATATTAGCAAATTGAATTCAGCATTATAAAAAGGACACTACATCATATCTAAGTGTGGCTTATCCCAGGAATACAAGATTAGCTCAACATTTAAAAATCAATAGTCCTGGCCAGTGTTCTCAGTGGTTAGAGCATCAGCCCGTGCACTGAAGGGTTGTGGGTTTGATTCTCAGTCAAGGGCACATACCTGCGTTGGTCCCTAGCCCTGCAGTTGGGCCGCATGCAGGAGGCAACCAATGGATATGTCTCTCTCACATCAAAGTATCTCTCTCTTTCTCCCCTCCTCCCTCCCTCTCTTCCGCTCTCTCTAAAAATCAATGGAAAAAGTATCCTCAGGTGAGTATTTTTAAAAATTAATATAATTCACCTAATTAACAAACAAAAAAAAGAGAAGCATCTCACTAGAATATGAAAAGTACATAATACAATCCAATATCCTTTCATGATTAAAGTTCTCAAAAAACTAGGCAAAGAAGGTAACGTTCTCAACCTGGTAAAAGAGATCTAAGTAAAGCCTATACGTAACATCACATTGGTGAAAGACTGAAGGCTGTCTCCCTACAGGAACAGGACAAGAATATCCAGTCTCACCATTTTTATTAAAAATGTACTGCAGGTCTTAGCTATTATAATGAGGCAAGAAAGAGAAATAAAAGGCATGTATATCAGAAAGACAAA